ATCTTTTAACCTTGCCTTTTTACATTTACTTATGCATTATATTTCTGTGCATCATTAATGCTTTACTATTCAGTTGTCCTCTTATATTACATATAAAAATGTGATGAGGACAGCTCTCTCTCTCTCTTTTCTGCTTACAAGAAAAATTAAACAGCAAAAGCTGCAGGCTTTGGGCCCAAGTGATCTTATAACACATCGTTCCACGCCCTGTCAAACATCCATGATGCACACCTATTTAATGCATAATAAAAGTGTAAAAAGAAAGCCCAAGGTTAATCCACTACATTATATGGCCTGCACCCCTAAAACTACAGCATACTTACAACGTACGATGTAAAGGTTTTTTTGTTACTCTACTAAGTTATGCACTATTTAAAATTTGATTTGTATCTCCTGTAAAATACCTAAAGTTACAAACTTCTTAAAAATACTTCTAGTATAATAATTTTTCCTAAAGTGTTCAGTATTGTGCAGTATTTGTTAGGAATGCATCTCTACTGTGCTTGTTTACTGTTTTAAAATTAGATTATGGTGTGCACTTATCCATACAGTGATGTTTATCTGGTGTGTGGTGGAAATGTTGTGCGGGCTAAAAGTTCAAAGACAGGTGAAGAGCTTATAGACGTCCAAATATCTGTTTCGTTGTTGTCTTGCTACAGAAAGGAACACATACTGTAACAAACAAGATTAACAGCAAAATAAAACAACACAATGCTGCTTTAAATATAAAGATATGTAAACATTTAATCATCAGTGTATCTCTATGATTTATCAGCAGTTTTACAGATGTGTTTTGCATTTTTGTAACACATGAAGTGGTATCAACAGAGATATAACAATAAAAGCCATAATAACCTTCCAGTTGCATCATATTGCTTAAAAAACTAGATATTAATCACTTAGAACTGCTTATAAATGGAGGAAATGTGGGAAGAAGTGGTATCCTTCATAAGGTGAGATAATTTTCTTATCTCACAGCTGTTAAAAACTAGTTGGAAATCCTTAGAAATTCATTGGTATAAAGCTGGATACAGGGCTGTATGTCCTACATGAGTAAATGAGAAGTTGGGGTCTTGCATTGCTTAATTCCATCTTCTTGACATTGCTGGAAAAGCAAACAATCAAATGAACAGAAGTGGAAATGACAGTTTACTCAGGTTCACACCAGTCATCTGTAAAGAAGCTGATTAAGCTGTGAATGAAAGGAGCGCCGAAACCATTACAATAAAAATTAGAATAAGAAAGAGCAGCGGCGCTGTTTGATGATGTCAGAGGTCAAAATTGGTCTTTTCTCTGGGGAAGCCATTGAAAATACAGCACATAGTCTCCACAACTGACAAAATATCAAATCATTGTGTAGATATCGCTGGGCATGAGCATTTAAAATGTGTTTGACTTTGTCATGCTGGAGAGGATCAGGCTGGCCTCTAAAGGTTTGCTCACTGTCTTTAGTAGAAGGACGAAGGAAAAAATTAAAAAAGTGCTATAATGCAGTAATTACATGCAGTTCGATTTTGAGCTCTCCCAGCTGAGGGAGTCGCAGGAAATGCTGCTCAGGTTGTGCTTCAGCAAAGACCGACTGACATTAAAGTGATTCAGCGGCAGAAAGCCTCCTGTGTCCCAACAGGAATCAGCTGATGGAGCTGCACTGACTTTGAATTGACTCCTCCACCCACTTCCCGCCTCCCTGTTGTTTTGTGTTGTGTATGTGTGTGCATGTGTGTGTGTGAGTTGGTGACTGAGTGCGTGACAGATGACTTCATTGGGTGGTCTTGCCTTTCATAACCATAGTAGCTAAGTCTTTGGGTACCGCTGCGGTAGTGCGTGCTAAAGTTTGTTTTGGGATGAATTAAAATATGAAGTTCATTCCTGTCTCTGCACCACTGAGTGCAGGAAGGGGTTTGTCAGGTAATGTCAGCGTCATCAGATAAAAGCAAACACTTGTTTATCTCTCGATGGCACAGAGCGAGAAGATAGCCCAAGTTTAGGGTGAATACATTACTTGCAGAAGCCCAACTCTTAGTCATTTGGAATCTTATCTGGGCATATGTAGTGCTAGTATAAGTTAGCATTTTGTAGTTGTATAATAGTAGCGGTAGGCATTCTGAAAGGAAAAATAACAAGTGCAAAGGATTTGATGCAACACAAGATTCGCATCAAGGTAGAATATAAACAAGGCTACAGCTTCTGTGTGATCCTGTCCTGTCAGTGTGCAACAAAGGAGAGTTTCAAGCACTGTGGTGAATCAATTAGGGCAGTTTCAATGGAAAAAAGTGCATCCACCTGCAAGGAGTAACTGCCAGAGTACATGATAGTTGTGAAAATCCTGTACTATTCACCATATAGTGAGTTGGCCATTTTGAAGTGCTGTCCAAACTTTTAGCAAGTGTTGCTATACCCTATAGTGCACTTAAAGGTGTCGCGTAGTGTTTCCTAACATAGTGAACAATAAATGGGTACCACCTAAGAATCATATCCCATCATGCACTGGAGTAAAAAAAAAGGTAGATGGACAAAAAAAGTTCCACAAAATCTTTGTACATATTAATTTAACTTGGTATAGTATTTATGACAAAAGTTCATGTTCAAAGTTCATCACTGTGTGTCTGCAATGATACAACCAACATTGCCAAGAAAATGAATACTGTCTGAAATTTTAAATATTTTGCAAAAGAAGTCATGAGTGAATTATTTCAGGCACAGCTGATGTTAACCATAATTATGCTTTAGCCGCCTAAAGTTAAAGTTAAGGGGGATTTTAGCTGATGTCACACATTCTGACATGTTTTTGAAGCACACTCAGCTCAAGGCTTCAAAAGGACACTTCACTAACCAATGGATGATTGGTCACGGTGTCTACACCTGTCCATTATGCTGTCAGTCAAAAGAAGTACGTCTGGTAGCGGCTTGAGTTGTAACATTGGTTTTGGTTTGCTAGCTTATGTAGTTTAAGTAGACTGGTTGGTGTATTTATAAATTATTTTACCACTTAGTGAACACATAGAGCGAGAAGGACCTTCTGTTGGAGCTTCTGCATGGTTTCTGGTTTGTAAGAACTGACGCTACTGTTGGCCCAAGGGAAACATCCCACAGGAGTGAGGAAGAATGGTGAGGAGAGGGGAGGCGTTGTGATGGGACTGAAAGCAGGGAGTCCAGAAAAACTAGAGCAAGTGATTTGGAAATTATTGAGAAATCAACTCTTTAGATTTGTTTTGACCCAGCTGAGCACATTTGTATGGACCACTGAGTCTCAGCCTGCTGACAGATGAGATGATGAAACTCTTAGGTGTTGTTAAATTTAGAATTTAATGTATTTATTCTGGTATAAAGAACATTTTTGACTTTGGTGATCTGAGTCATGCTTGAAAGAAAACGTTTTACTTACTGAAGAATTCTGAGTAAAAGCAATAAAAGTGAAGTTTTTTTTTTTCTGAATTTTGAGAAAAGTCAGAAATCTGACTCCTCATTGTTCTTACTGTCCTCCAGAATTTTTATTTAAATTTCAGAATTCTGGACGAAAACTTCAAAATTACAGTGTTTTCTCTCAGAATTACGACTTTAGTTTCAAAATTTTTAACTTAAATCATATTCCGATTTAAACTCAGAATTCAGATTTTTTTTCTTCTCCGAAAAAAGCTCATCATTTTCAAACAAAAACCCAACGCCCACACCCACACACGAAAAATAAAACAACGTTTTTGTCATTTGGTCTAATCCGGTTCCATATGTTCCAATTTATAATGTCGATAAGTTAGGATTTGTTAATAACCTTTGTGAGTTCTGGTTGCAGTTGCAGAAGTATATGGTTTGTGCTCATGAAATGATCTGGAATAACAGGAAAATTCACTGACTTCTGTCAAATAAACCCAAAGAATCTTTGCCTGTATTGCCACTCGACCACTCATTCTTACATCTACAAGTGTCAGCGTATTATTCAGGCTACGTCCACACGTACCCGGGTATATTTGAAAACGCAGATTTTTCTATGCGTTGGCACCTTTCGTCCACACGTAAACGGCGTTTTCGGTCACTGAAAACTGAGATTTCTAAAAACGCCTGCCA